GCAGCTCTAGCTCATCAACGACCAGCAGCAGTTCCTCATCCTCAACCACTTCGACCTCAAGTTCAACCTGGACATCCTCCTCCACCAGCAGCTCGGGGACTAGCACATCATCCAGTTCAACCACAAGCACCACGACATCTAGCTCCACAACATCTAGCTCTAGTATGTCCACCACATCAACTTCAAGTACCACGAGCAGCTCAAGCTTCACCATAAGCAGCACCAGCAGTACTTCCTCCACTCGAACAAGAAGTACCACAACATACAGCTCAACCTCATCCGTCACAAGCAGCTCTTCTACCCGGACATCGAGTACAAGTACCTCTGTCAGCCAGACCTTCACCAGTACCACCTCGCTCAGCAACACCACCAGCAGCACCACCAGCACGGCGAGCACCACCTTTTCCTCGAGCTCGTCGCTCACCACAGATTCTTGGCGGATGGCGGGGTGGCGCTCGGTTCCCCTAAATCAGAAGAAGTATAACTAAGTGACTCACACCCGAAATACTAAAAGAGAACACATTACATCATGAAATATCATGGAAACATCTACCGTATCCTACCGATTCCTACCGCATATATATATATATATGTCTATGTCCGTCTATAATTATTTTCTCATGTTTGGTTGTCAGGGTCAGTTTGATACAATAGAACCAACCGACAGCTCACCAACGCTAAGGAAAGTAGCACAAGCTCCACTTGGACAAGCTTCACATCCTCCAGTACCAGCTCTGTTTTTGATTCCACTACAAGCTCTCAGACACGAAGCAGCAGCCAATCATCTTCGCGGTCAGAGACTTCAACCAGCACCACATCCACAACATCAACAACAACCTCAGGCGAGATTTGGTAGATAGTCGTGGACCGTTCAGTAGGGGCGCTGGTTTTGTAGATCATGCTGGATCTCCCAAATTTTAGCTTGAAAATATTGCATTGGAAGGAAGGTGAAAGTGCTAAGAAGTCGGGGGAACTGCCAGATGTTTCCAGTGTCTTTGGATGACGTACTGAAAGCAGTTTCAAGCGGTTTAATCAAGGTGCTGGGTATCATTATAATATATATAAGAAGGTTTCGATGGGATTGAATGCAGCAGCCTTTTGGCGATACGTACTGTTCATGGATGGTTGAGATGGATGTTCAAAGGCATTGTCGCTGGTAGGGAACAAGTTCGTCATACCTTCTGCCATTCGAGAGCACCAGGGTGCTCGGCTTCCATCCAAACCGTGGATGAAGGGCCCGCCCAAATACCTGTCCACAAACAGGAGTCAGCGGCTAGCTGCTAAGTTGAATAGTCTCTCAACGTCTTCGATAGCTGGAGGTTTCAATCAACGTCTTCGGCTGGAATTTGGAAGAACAGCTTGTCATGGCATGTTTAGCCTTTTCTCTTATTCAATAGAGAGTCTGCTAAAGACTTCTTTGGCTTTGCATGAACCCCGACTCCAAATCACAGCACCGCTCCCATCCCACCCATTCTTTGGAGGATTATTGGTTCAGAATATCGAAAGAAAGCCCACCTGTTTTGATCCATCGGTGCCCCGTGCCGGAGATTTTCCAGCCCGAAATCTTGATGTACCCTCTGACGAACACATCACATGGAAGTGGATGGCATGATCACTTGTAAGACTACTTTCCTCTACAAACAGTAAGTTTTCCACTTCCATGTGATGTGTTCGTCGGAGTGTACTATTCGTGAATGATGGGGACCCATCTTGACCCTTTTTGTCGGCGCCTATGGCCCCCCCCGTACCGGCACTCCCGTGGGTCCGCATCGGCCAGCCCGGTGGCTTTCAGGTGCTGAGCTGCCACCGCCGTTGGGATCGGAGGAGTTCACCTTCACCGCCGGGGCCGTGACGATCATCGTGACTGGGAAGACGGATCGATGGAGAGGAGGAGGAGGAGGAGGAGTGGAGGACACTTGATGGGGACCATTGGGGTTATAGGATGCATCTTGGGGCCCTCTCGGTCCACTTGATCGGACCACGTGAGCAGTGCCTGGAGTTGCTTCGGTGGAGTTGGGGGGACCAACCCTGTCACCCCGGAGTTGGGCGGTAGCAGATGACACTCTCAACTCTGGACCCTCTCCAACAAGCTCTCCAGCTATGGCTGTTTTGCGCCATCAAGCGTCAAGCGTCCCATCAATGGAAGGGCGAAACTATAGACTTTTCCACTGATCAGACCGGTTTGGCCCGTGTTCACCATGGAACCTGAATGAGACCTCCAGATAGTCCTTTGTCCCGCCGGTCAGGGTTGTTAGATTTATCACAGCTGTTAGGTCCTGTTAGGTTGTCAGCAAAATACCATGGTGGGGATCACTCGAAGTAAAGTACGGTATTTGTTTTTCTTCTTGAGCCTTTGAAGCATCCCCTTCGGCCACTGGGCCACTGGGTAACCCACACTTCGGCCAATGGGTAACCATGTGGCTTGAGCACAGTGCAGCTTGCGCCTTTATGCTGAGGTACACCCTCCCCGTAAACCAACAGCCCGAGTGTTCTTTGCCAGGGCATCTAAAGCGGTGGGAGGTACCAAGAACTCTATTAAGTCGACTGGACTTGAATAAAGTTGTGTTGAAACGGTGTGCCCAGACTGCATTTGGGCTAATTATGCAGTCTGAGCGTATTTGCCATAGATGTCTCGATGTGTTTTGTAGACTTGTGCCCATGCTGTTCCTATTTCACAATTCGTCAAGTTGTGGGACCTAGTGACCAGCGAGTGTGGGCGGCTGCGAGGCGGCCAGCTCAAGAAAGCGAGACCAACGATTTGATGTGTATGACAGGGGTCTTAGGAAGATTTTGAACACCGGAAGAGGACCTCTTAATTGTTTAGGGGACCCCCCTGCAATGTTAATTGTTTCACAAAAGGATCCAATGAATTAGTTACAGTAAGTCTCATGAATTCTCTTAAACGTCTTATTTATACTATTATAGTCTTCCATCCCACCTCACCCCCTGAACCGCAGGATCGGCCCACCACATCCCACCACTCACTAGACCCGCCCCGCACTCCACTCACTCGCCAAGGCGGCCTCCTTGGGCTCCGTGGCCTTGGCGAGTCTGCTGCTGCTCCCCTTGCGACCCAAGGACTTCGTGCTCAAGGCCGCCAAGGGGGCCAACCAGGGCGCCCAGAGTGCCGCGCAGCGGCTCCGGGACGCTCGGTGTGGAACACCACGAACGGAGTGGCGCGGGCGCTGGCGCGCGAGCTTTCAAATGAACGAAAAACGAGCAGGAAACGCATGGAGGGTGGTTCGAAAGTGCAGAGATTGGACGCAAAACTGGAGGACAAGAGTTTCCTCAACTTTGGTTTCACGAGAGTTTTCATGAGAAAACTTGAACGGTTCAGCGGTTCAACCATGTTCAACCTGGTATACTTCTTCCACGATCCCGATGTTTCTTTCGCGCTCTACAACCACGCAGAAAGGAACGGTGTCCATGGTCTCGAGGGCCTCAGATGCGGCGGCTGGTGATATGGGAAGCAGATGGAAGATGGAAGATGGAAGAAAATGGTGCCATCCATTCTGAAGAAGGTGTGATGAGGCCAGTGGCCAGCTCACCTTGTGTTTATACTTGTGACTCCTTCGTGTTTTTCTTCCAACATCAGACGTTCATTCTGGATCAGCGAGGTCAGCTCAAAGAAAAATGGGATTGATTTGGCCGTCATGTGTTTTGTTTCAACCTTGGTTTGTATATTTTGCATACTGTAGACTTCAGTTATGCAAGCATGTTCAATCTCATTCCTTGAGTGTATCTTTGTACCAAGGAATGGGTATTTCACTTGTTCGTGATGGCCTCACGCGTTCATAACATGAGCCACGCCAAGTCCCCACCGCAAAGCGAGGAATGGTTGCTTTGGCGGCTTTTCAACCAGCAAGTCGATGAAGAGTCTGAGGAAGAGATTGTCGTACAGACCACTCCAGGACGGGGATCCGAGCGAGAAGTGTTGTAATGAGAGCTTCAGGATGAACGGACCTACCATAAAGGGATCCTTGACCGTGCCCTCCTCCGGGTGTTCTTGCCATTGTTGAGGTTGTGAGGGGGTGTTTACATTGGGATGGAAGGGGTAATCTCGTGTAAGAAGTTCGAATCGTTTCCCTTGCGCCGCCGAACGCAGCCGTGTCGCTTCCTGAAATCAGGAACAAGTCACTTTGATGGCCTCCGCTTGACACTTAAACGGCACCGTTAAATCACCTCTTCTGTTTGAATGATGTTTGCTTCCAAAACATGGTTGATTTGAAACTGTGTTCTACCCGAGTTGACCTCTCAAAAGCAGATCTTCTATCGAGTCGGAATGATTCTTGTTTGGATTCCTCTTTGTCAAGCTGCCGCGACGGGCTGTGACGATTTGATCACTAGATGGTTTCCAACATCAAGAACTCAACATGTTCAATTGGTCCCATGTCCACCGGCAGTTAGCACAGACCTCATTCGGCATCATCCACCCAGTCGCGTGGCAGTTAGAAAAAGAAGAACAGACTGGACGTTCGTAGATGCAGTGGTCACGATAGCATATGATAGGGTTTGGCAGTGGTTCCAATGACAAAAAAGCACAGACTCACCAGGAGTCCCAATTTACCTCACAAAGGGTACGAGTACCCATATGCCATACTCCAAGTTGTTTGAGGTCGGGTCCAGGTCATTAGATAGACAGTACACCCAGTGCTAAAAAATACGCAACATAGTGGGATCCAGGTTTTCAGCTTTGCCAGCCTGGCCTTCCTCCCCCTTCATCTCTCTTCCCAGAGATGAAGATCTGCTCCTGCCAGGACCTTTAGTGCGTGAGGCTGAAAGCCCAGCGGGACAGATGCGACAGCTGAAGGTGCGCGGACGGATGATTGCACCACGAAATACGGAACACTGGGTACAAGCATTTGGGGACATGGGGCATGTTGAAGTGAGTAGGCATGCAGAATGTTTCACACTTTGATCTCTACAAGGCGAATAGTGGCTAGATCATCGGCTAGATGTTTTTGCAATTCAAACCGAGGATCGAATCACCAGCAGTCACCGCCAGCAGCGAATCTCAGGATTTCCTGCCAGCCCCGCCCTGGTGACCCCGGTGGCGCCAGTGACCTCTTCGGTCGGTTCGGGCGAAACGGCGACCAGGCCCTGAAGCTGGCGGAGGAGATCGACACCGAGGAGCTGTCGGGAGACCGAGATCGAACCGGAGCTGAAAGAGAAGGTGATGAAGATGTTTTGGTGCCCAGCTAGGCTGAAGTAAAGGAACCAACCAGTTCGCGGTCCAGGTTTTGGCCCTAACTAGGGTGAAATGGATTGAAATGGACCAAAGCAACATGTGGCAGTTTGGGGGTCCATGAGCCTTTGGGCGATCAAAGAACCCAGAAAGACACATGGAGTTTCTAGGAGTTTTATGTGAAGTGAGGAAGGATCAGGCGAAGAACTGTGGTTGTTTGGAAAATAGGCTGGAGGAACAGATTGCTGGAACAATGACCCCTAGGAAGTGTCTTGTCCTTATCCTATCATGCCTCTAACAGCGGTGGCACCCCTGCAGACAAGAAGAAGGACTCCCAGTTTACTACCGTGGGGGGGTAGAGTTTTGAAGACCATCAAACCGAGTGGCAAGCATGTTCAAAATACTGCTTCAACTGTCTGGCCGAGCCCACACATGACCCGTGTGGAGGGTTTCCTCCAATTCACAAGCTGGGAGCGTTTGAAGTGTACGAGGATGTGTTGTTGATGTGAAGTGAAGTATTGATGGACCCTTTCTTGAACGGATCTGCCTCAGAGTTGCTGAATGGTACCTTGTACCATGCAAGTGGTGTCTTCTTAGGAAGCTATCAAACCAATGTGCTAAATTGATCAAGCTTGTGGACAAAAAGAACACCTGGAGTATCATGAGGCAAACATCTTACATCCTAATACCGAACTCAATTGAAATCAAGAGCTCTCGATTTAGGGACCGCTATAATCCGCTATATACGACTAGACCAGGGTTGGACGATCTGAGTATTAGGAATCATTTCGGACCAAGCTGCACAGGCTTTCCGATCTGTGGAAAGTTCTTTTTGGACATTTTGGACTGTCTCAACAACTCTGGCTGGGGGTTTGGGTCAATGGAAGGTAGGTCCCTTGGCGTCCATTGTTGGAGCACATTACACTCCTTGAAATAATCATGGAAGTGGAAAACCATGGAAAAACACCTGAGTTGTTTTGTATTTGGATGTCTTTGTCATCCGAAATCGGGGCCATCCATGCCATCCACGTAACCACAATTTTTTCAGGGAGTGTAATATAGTATAATATCGCCGGCCATGGTCGGCCTAACACCCCAAGAATGTAAATCTCAGACATTTTCCAGTGAAGGATTGTCTGCCGCCACCGAAAAGGCAGAAAATACCATTCCTGGCATTCCTCGCTGAAAACACCATTCAAGCCTTGCCTGGACATCCACACCCCTTTAACGCTAGGACATGCACATGTCTCTTTACCCCATCTCTATCAAGTCTGCCAATTGTTCTGCTTGGCTCCAACAACATCCCCCTATATCAACCTATCCAAATCCTTTGCAACTGGTGACTTCTCCTGCACCCTCCCCAACGGTCAAAGCGAGCGAGCTTTGCACCTCTGAGGGTCGCAGAGAGCGCGAGCGACCACTCGGGGCGACCCGTCCTGGCGTCGCCCAGCGCGCTCACCATGAGGCGCCGTTGGTGTTTGTTGCTTTTCTACAGCCAAGGAGGGAAATGGTACGGTTACGCCATTCAAAATATGTGGAGGGCGGTACGGTTACGCTCATCCTATTCTGTTTTTTTTGTAGTAACCGTATCAATTCTTGAGAATCTTCAGAATTACATTGTAGACCTGGGGGGGTCGCATCGATTGTTCGAGTTAGCTTGCGATTGGAAGTTCTCATGAAGCATTTGGGGTCTTGCTCTGGACTGGACTGTAGATTGTTTTTCTGGTTCTAACGTTTTCGATTCGTGTTCCGATGCGTTGAGAGATGGCGTGATGTCTTGCTCGTGATCAGGATCGAAGAGGAGGCCTGGAGAGTTGGACCCTATTAATTTAGAGCCAGACTTAGACATTGACTCTTGAGAGGCAGCGGGATGACTGAGTTGGTCAGCCGTCTATGACCTATAACTCGCAGGATTCGAACTGAAGGAACTGCCTTTTACATCCGTTTTACCCTTCATCTCCACCTTGAGAGCAGGTTGTGAAACAAGAAGCAGCTGGGATGGTCTATACACCAGCGCGTCCGTTGGTCCTCCTTCTTCCTCAGGTGGTGCTGAGGTTTCGGTTTTTCACGTGGTTTTCAGACCCCACGCAACTCGAAAGGGAGGGCAGAAGGACTCAAAAAGACACACATGTGCTAGGCCCTGAATGCCATGTGGCATGACTGTTCAGCCACAAAAACAAGAGGTGATGGATGGAGCCAGAACTACCAAAACCAAAACAACCCATCAAAAGACCCATGTTTCATGACTCTTCAGCAATCAGCAAGATCTACATGAATAAGACTTACCTGGAAAAAAGAAACTCCGACCGTCCCCGTGTTCCCACCCCAAATGGGGCCCTTCGGATCCACCTCGATCAGGCGACACATCCGGAAGCGGATCAGCAGCTGAGATGGGAGAGGGGGGAAGAGGAGTTGTGGATGGCTAGCTAGCTGGATGGACGGTGTTCTTTTGCTTGTTAAAGACTTTTTGTTGGAATCGGGGATCTTCTTCTGGGGTAGACCAGAAACAGCTCCAAACAGAAACAAAGACCGTCCACGCCGACACCGCGATGGTACCGCACCGACCAGCGTGGGGGGTCGCGAAGGAACCGTGTGCAAAAGCGGCGGCAGAGCGCCGGGCCAAGACTTGACCACCTTGTCTTCCATGAGTTGTCTCAGATGGTTCAAAATGAGCATCACCAGAAATTGCCTGGATGTTTCCTTTTGAAGAAGTTGAGGTAGTTTGGGTGTGGAGGATTCTTCAAAGTCCAGCTGTGTGGGCATTGGGCTGTTCTATACTAAATTATTAGACGTAAAGTTGTTCAATGTGGAAACCCAGGAGTCCATATAGTAAAGGCTGCTTCCGAAGATTCCCACTGCTCAAACTTTCTCACTGAAGTATCTATGAACAATCTTCACACTGAGAGGGATCATTTCTCGGGAGCTGTCGTACAACCGTTGTCCAAGACTCTTGCACAATCCTCCGTTTGTCCATTAGCCATGGGGCAGCCGTCTTTGTCCAGCTCTGTGGTATAGCAAGAGCCACACATTGTCCAGCTCTGTGGTATAGTCGTGACAAGGAAAAGGTGGTGAAGATTCAGGTTCGACTTGGTTAGACCTGAGCCGCAACAATTTGGATGTATTTTGTGCAGAAAGAACGGTGCCCACTTAAACATTTAGGCAAGAGCAGAGGAGTATTTGTCAAGCTTTGATCCGAGAAAGTAAAAGTCCGATTATATCCAGTACGTTGCAAATCCCAACGATATCCAATGACTATTCAGGTTAATCAAAGCCACCGACCAATTTGGAAGCCAATTCTATGGGTGGCCGCCGGCTAGAAAAGCACTGCTCTGAGGTACTGCAAGTGGAGAGGCGTCTACTCCCAAGGAGGAGTACTGAAAGCAGGTTCTCAGGCTGAAGGCTGTATGGTAGACCCGCACCAAAAGGTGTGGTGCAGGTGGTTTGTTGAAGACTGACACGTTGACCAGCTTTCAGTTCTAATCTTACACAGTGGTGCATGTTGTGGGAAATCCCCCCCGAAGGTGGATTCCATCCAATTCGTCTAGGATTGTTCTAAATTGACAGTTCAAAAGTTTATCGAGATTTAAAGTTGAAACAACAATACCTTGTGTCCCACACACATTGTGTTTATTGCCAACTCATCGGCCAGAACAACCAGCCTCAAAGCTGGATCTAGCTAGCAGGACATCTCGGATACTCTCTTGCTAAAGCTGCCAAAGTGTTTTCAGAGCAGATCTCATGACATCCCCAGACTCAGACTCCGAACCGATTTCCAGTGGACACCTACCGTTCAGCTCCTTCAGCTCCTTCAGCTTCATCCACTCCAGCAGCCCAGATCAGCCCAGATCGCGCCGCAGGATGCATCCATTGCCCTCGATCACACCGACACGCATTCGCTGCTCGGTCACCCACTCGATCGCCCAAAACGTTCAGGTAAAACCTCCGGTGTTCCTCGCGGTTTGGGTCGAGTCCTGTGGAGTCGGTTGGTTTGGACAGGTTGAGCACATTTGAGCATGCAAAACGAAGTCATCCGACCCAGACACGACGAATGGGACTGGAAGACTTGAATGTGTATACATTGGGGTGGTTGAAACGGAAAAAAACTGATAAAAATGTAAGTTAACTATGTATGCCAGTGCCATGGATTGTTTCGGCGATGTGTTCCTTTAGATGTTGACTCCATTGAGGAACCCACAGAACCAGGGTTTCCTTCGGAAGCATGGTCAGGAATGGTTGGCAGGGAAGCACGGAAGCACCTGCAAATGCTTGTGCATGCGCATGACTCGTGACCGAAATCGAAATTCCTGAAAACACAGTGCATGCAGTCGGCGCAGTGCCTAAGCTACGCAAAGCAAAAGATCCTGGTCCCTAGCACTTCCAACGGGTGCCAAATGGAGACCTGTAAGTAGAGTGGGGTAGTCTATTGGACACCCATTAATGATCCTGGTCTGAACATTCCTGTTGTGGCAAACAAACGATCTCAACTACGGAGCCAACGATTCATCCCAATAATGTGACCGCCGGTTGAGTGGAAACGAGGAAATGAGCAGGACGGTGGAAACCGGAGCCAGAAAAGAACCGGACCACAGGACCAAGCAGGACCAAGCAGGAAAGCTTGAAATGTGGTTTGCAGGGAAAAGCGGTAAACTTGCATTCCCATGAAGTCTTGCATCCTCGACCCCTGATAGTACATTGGGCTGAGGAACCTTGGATCACCCACCATTGGGTTGCTGATCCTCGTGTTCGCATCGGGAAACCAAGCCGCAGGAGCAAGCCCAAGACGAAGTACCACTGGTACTTTGATACGTTTTCTTCACACTTTCTCATCCAAAGCGTCCAGTATAGTCCCTCCGTCGTCGCATGTCGACGCCGAGGAGCGATGAGTTGTGGCTTCCAGCACAGCTGGATGACCGGTCATTCTCGCACGGACCGGTCCAGGACCAGGGCGGAGTCGACCATCACGGAGTCGATGAGATCAATGCATTGATTTATTTCATTAAGTTTTTTACATGACATGGTTCTACTGAACAAGCCATGTTTTACTAAGGAATTTACTAAGAATTGATATACACTAACACAACAACAGGTCAACCTGTCTGGTCAACCGGTTTCGGCAGCCTAGACAAGGGTGGTCAAGTTCGCACCGGTGCGGTCACGACCGCACCGGTCCGATGCCGATCACGTGGTGTGTCTGTGACGCCTAAAACAGGAGCCACCAGGGAAGCTGGGAAGCTGGAACCACCAGTGACATGGTTTCCAGTTCTTGGATCAATTGGGAGAGCAAGTTGGATCAGTTTTCGCGGATGTCACGACATCACGACACGGGAAAAATGATGGTGAGAAGCGAAACTTCTGAATGGAGTGGAGGAGGGGTGCACCCCCAACATCTTTCGACCCTGATCATGTCCAGTTTCTAAAAGATCTTGCTGTACAACTATTTTATCCTGTTTATGTACTGTATGTATGTGTGTTTTTGCTGTTCCTTTCTGGGGCCCAATACCTCGATTGCACCGGGGAACTCCTTTTTTCCTTTCTCCGCTTCATCCCTCATTCCGTCGGGGCCTCGAACGACAAAAGCACGCGCTCGCCGCTATGCGCATCGCTCGGCGTCGGTTTGGGTGAGGAGAAGGGCCCAGCAGCGAGCACCTTGAGATACAGTGCACAGGCGGGTCGCGCACAGGTCATGGATCACTGCTCAGTGTTCTTTCGGGGCCCCGTGGTGACGGGCTGTTCGGCTGTGCGGAGGATGGGCAGGGTTGGGCCCTGGGGAGGTTGGGTTGGACACGGCGACGGGATGTGGGGTGTTGCTGTGGGGGGCGAACAAAGCACTTGGTGCCTTTTGAACTGGTTCACCGGCATGGACTACTGATGAATGATTTTTGACGTGGCCTTTGGGGGAATGTTTATCCCAATGATTCCAAAGAAGCCAGGGATCCAAGTACCTTCTCAAAAGGTACTTGGACCCTCCAAACCCACCCACCCAAAAAGGTTCCCAGTGGAGTAGGCAGATGTTTAAATTCGCCAGGACACATGTCCATCAGGTGGATCCCATCGTCATGATCACTTTTTCAAAGATGGATCATCACCACAGCGGGTGGTTGGATGAGACTCGGATAAACAACATGTTGAGTTGGACAGCAGTTGTGCAATTCTGGGTTGGGTGCAAGATGAGGAACTCATCAGGGAACAACAAGATGGATTTGCGATAACTAATCCAAGCAAAATCCAATATAGGTGTCTCTCGAAATATGGCATGCAGATGCATGCAGTGGGTCAACACACCGCAGCCCCAGACTCTACCCTGGTCGGTTGACCATGTCTCGGGGTGTCTATCTCGTCGTCGCCGGCCCATCGCCGCATGTAGCGCCCGTCACCGGATGGATGCCACATGGATAACGGGAAAACCAGACCAGCAAACGGGACAACCCGCCCAAAAAAGCTCGAACAAACCGGGAAGGCGGGGGTTCCGGGACCTCGTTGGCGCTGGCAGGTCCGCGAAACGCCGAAGCGTCCTGCCGTAAGTATTCGAGCCACTTGGCGGTTTTTCCGACAGATCCAGCGTGGGAACGGGCGCGAGCGTTCGAAAAACACCCCTCGAAAGTGGTATATGATTGATGTTGTTCTAAATGTATTGTCCAATCCAGGATTGAAGTAGATCACATTTCATTCGCCGTCTTTGGATTGGAGCATCTGGGAGCTCCTGTTTTGGACAATACTTCTGACATGCTGGGCACCTCCCTCTTGTGGCCGTGTTGATGTTCGAGGAATGGCGGCTGCGGCACAGCGACACCCTAGAGGATGCAGCAGGACTCGGCCAAAACGCCCCGGGACTGGGTTGGGAGCGGAAAATTCAGGGTGCAGATCTCCATTCTGCGCATCAGTTGCAGATGTCCACCGTAATTATCCACAACCACTGGCAGCAGGCTGCCAGAGACTGTTCATTCCAACAGACTCAACAGACCGGAGACTGTCACCAAGACCGTTTCACCAAGCCCTGCCGTTTGGAGAACTGGAGAATGGTGTTGTTCCACCTGACTCACCGGGGAGGTGCTTTTATGGTTTCCGTGACCAACGCAGGAGCTTTGCCGGGAGAGGTGGAGTTTCTGAAGGAGGACTGGGGGCTGGAACAACTCGGGTGAGGTGTTTTCTGGTGTTCGGAGTTTGGGTGTGTTGGGGAGGGGCGGGCCTTCTTTGTTTATTGCTTTTTTCCGGAAGGGTCAAAGAGGGTCAAAGTACAGAGAGGTATAGAAACACGATGGAAATTCATGTGATTGAATCAACGATTGACTGTGATGAACTGGCGCGACAGAACCACAAACCGCGTGGAACACGACACGGCGACAGAACAGGCTCTTCCCTCGATCGAGGTAGAGGACCTGACAACGCCCGGGACCCAAGGGCGTCCGACTCCGCTGCGCCAATGGAGCGATGGTGTTGGACATCTAGAAACATCGGATTTGGATGTATTTGGTATTTGTTTGGTGGAGATGTCGTGAAATGTCACAGAAGGCCTCAAGATATGTGGTACTGTACAAGACTTCTATTCGGCTTGCCAGTAATGGACTTGGGGATTTGAGTAGTTGGAAAGTGCGAAGCCGTCTCGTTGAAAGGTTGGATATATGAATATGCATGATACCTTGCACGTGACTTGCAGGTGGCAGCTGGTTGAAATTGGAATGTATTGTGGTGCCAATAGTTCAATAGTGGCCATGGGACCTCTGACTATAGGAAGACAAGCATCCCAACTACAGTAAGTTTGAAAGAATAACACATCTTCGATGCTTTTTGCCCTGTCCAAAACCTTCCTCCGCTCCCGGCCTGGACGATCTGGTCGTTTCGGACATCGACTCCAAACCGAAACGACCATCCGAAACGCCATCCGAAACGCCATCCTCCGCCATCAACGACCATCCTCGTGAGACAACCTCCGGGGCCGACGACAACCCAGGGCCGATGCCTCGGCGTCCTCGTCCATGAAACCCTTGATGCTTCCAGCCTCACTGGCCATGAGGCGATGGGACGGGGATGACGGGACGGGCTTATGGCGGACCAAGCCTCAGCCATTTGTTCAGAACCAGAGTGGGGACCGGACGATGACATTTTCTGAGAGATTGGAGTGGTTGGAGAAGCTTGATCCACCAGTTGATCACGATGTTCACCCCACATGGTGATGCTGGGTGTTCACTTTTTCCCCCCCTCGAAAAGCACCATCCGAAGCTGCGAAGCTTGAGGAGTTGCGCCAGAACGACGCCCAGTAGATCCAAGCTTCGACTGAAACGACCCCGGGTCCCGGTCCATCCGAACGTCCGGTCCTGCGCGGACGAATGGGTCCCTGTCCTCCGGTTTGTCTCGTTGTCTCGTTGTCCTAGGTCCTAAAGGAGAAGCCAAAGCTCCAACCATCTCCAACCTCACTTGGCTGTGTTTTGAAAGGGCAGGACGTTGTTTGCAGACGTTGGAAGATATTGGAAGAGATCTATGCCCTGCCGTTTCAGCCGCCACGAACGACTGCCGGCTTCGCGCCAGGGAACGCACCCGAAGTCGGATCAGCCACCTGGCCAAGCCGGGGCGTTTGCGTTTGGGCTGCGCGCACCAAGAGAGTGAAGCTACTAGGTGGCTGTTATAACTGGGGTGTTCGAAGGTCCAGTGGTTGAATGAGACGTTGTTATAATGAGATGTCATCTTGCTCAGGTGGAATGAGCTTTGCCAACACTGGGGGTACTCTCCAACGAATAGGATCCCACCAGAACATCGCATGCAACCGACACAGGAACAAGGTGGTTTTATCATGTTTAATCCCCCATGACGTTAGTGCTATCCGTGTCGGGTCCGACCCCAGCCGAAGCGGTGTCGGGTGCACCAAGATGGATCGCCAGGGGACATCGATTCTGGAGGCGTTTACTGCCGGTCGATGCTGAGGTCTTAGCAGTTGGGAGGCGTCTACTACTCCTAAGGAGGAGTGGTTGCACTGGGCACGGCACTCGAGAGCACTCGGGCCCTTGGTTCCATGTCAATGGAAGAGTCACGGTAATACATTGGCAGATTATGGCAGTGGGTCAATACCAAGTCTATTATTCGTTCATATTCGTTCATTTTGCCTCAACCCAGGTAGCCCGGTTTTGAGGACAGCTGAAGATTCGGGGGTCACCCAAAGTGGCCGAAAGACAACCCTCCCGGCCATTCGCACCAAGCGAAGCGTGCGAGTGGCTAAGTGAACACCCACCATTGGAATCCCCGCATCTGTTCTCAGTTCACCTGGCTCCCACCTGGTTGAAGACCATCGACGAAGAACTACGGTCCTTACGGTCCACAAGGAAGATTGAAAAGGCGAACGGCGCACGGCTCACATCGACGCACATCAGCAGTGGGTGATAGTGGGTGTGAAAAAGAAGGTTTGACTCTCCACAGGACCGGAGAAGGAGGTTCCGTTCCGGTGAGAACGAGGGAAAACCAGTGGAGATAACTGCTAGCAGCACCCTATGTTAGGGTTGGTATGGGTTGGTGATTAGATAGATGGAAAACACATGGTCAGGGGGGTCTATCAACCACCTGAACTGGGCGGTGCTGGTAGTTCTCACTTCCAAGACAGACCTCCGATTCCCTTTTCAAACGTCCGATTGCCTCCAGGACGCTGCCCTGGATCAAACGCGCATGTCGCCGCTCGTTCACGAGCGATAGATCGTGCGGGAAGATGACGGGGTCGACCGTCGACGGGGGACGATGGGGCAGACGCAAAACAGAAATGAATGATATGAAAAAGGGTCGTCTCTGTACATCCATGAGAAGTTCCTCTGTATCAGAGGCACTCCCTTTTCAAGTGATTGCAGATATAGATTTACCAAGCCATACCAACTCAATCATGGGATTCTGGGGTCCGTATCGTATCCATATTGCAGGAAGGCTGAAAAGAATGCAACTTGCAGACCCCGGGATGCCCAGGTAGTCCAATGCTTATAGCGGATGGTAGGCACTGTTGGCTCATGAAACGATCATCACGTGGAAGCCAACCTTTTGTACTCGTAGCTGGCAATCTCTTCGCGTCACCGAAGCTCTGGAAGGTGCTTCCGAGATCTCTTTGTGTCGCTGTCGTCTCTTCGCTCTGATCAGCTGTCGCTGTCGCCCCGCGCAAACCGCGGCGCCCCGCAGCATTTGGCTTCACTCGCATTCGACCAACTCGAGTCGGCCGACCCTCGAAGGCCCGCCCGCTTCACTCGGCTCGCCATGGTGCACATCGCAGGTTACGTCACGGTGGAAGAAGGGCATGAACGCTCTGACCAGGTGGGTCAGATGCCAAGAGCTTGCTGAGGTTGCTACAGATGGTCGTTCAATGTCATTTACAACCCAGCTCAAAATCGGAAGCATATAAGAAGATGCATTGCATCAAAGAATGTTTGAGAGTACACCACTGGGACATACTGGGACTCCCATGAAAGGGATGATCCACCAACGCACCCGGACCCTCAACGGCTCCGTCACCAGGAGGAGCACCGAGGACTCGCACGACGCGTCCCCAAGCCTCTCGGAACGAAAGACGGCGCCCGTGGCGGCCATCCCCCGGTGGTGGCCGTCACCGGTGGTTTACAGCACCGGTGGATGGGATCTGGCTACTTGCACTGAATGGGTAGACAAAAATACAAAAAATCAACGAGGTTTGTGAGGTTTCCGCAGATGTTTTGGGGGAGTGTCCAGCTTCTTCTTGTGTGTGCGTGTCTGAGACCTTTTGAGGCTTTTCAGCCACCCTCAAACGAGACCTATTAGAAAGACCAAACCACTCGGGAAGAACCAGTCTGGGTCGCTTCTGCCAGAGGCAGGGTTACATAGGGTTACTGATGTTTGTTCCTTAGTTGATGACCTTTGGTGTAGAAAGGTCAGGCGTGACTAAGGAATGACACGGTCATTTCCCTCCCACACGGGCTCCAGTCATAGCTTGGGCCCGGGTGCCATTGTCGGGTCCAGTCATACCAGCCCCCCCCTCCCGTTTCGGAGGTACGACTAAAGCGCCCGTGTGGCGTTACGTAACAACGCCTGAGCGTGTGTTTGAATTGCCCTGGCCCAATGGCTGATCTCTTTTCCTTCTTCCAGAGGGTCCAGGCTTGGGAGGTCTCCGGTGATGTTCGATCCTCACAGAGACCCCTCCCTATAGTCCGATTCGCTCCGCAGCTACCGCGGGTTCCCGCGGTCGCGAGCGGAGCCGGAAAGGAAAGGTGCGAAACCCATTGGAACCCCTTCATATCTACATCAGTCTCACAGTCCATATAGTCAGTCCAGAAATGTACTACTGCCCTGGATTTTGGATGATTTGGGTGTTTAGGCTTCAGAAAGTCTACTCACCAAGGGTTTTAACAATCCGACATCCACAAGGAGTTTGATTGGTCTACACCGACAGCCTATTGTGTCTACTCTTCATGGCTTGTGTAAGTCGGAACAGGGAAGATGTGCTTCCGAATGTGGAATGCAGAATAAGCTCGTTCTGCTGATCTTGCAAAAGCACCTGGAGGTGGTGCTTTGTTGAGAGCTACATAGCTTCCAATGACTCATTTTATGCCTGATAGTCATAATCCATCATAATCCACTAGTACCATAACGGTAAAACGAGTCATTGAAACTCCAGAAACCAGCAGGGTGATGAACTGCTCCATCTTCGGTCTTTTGAGGCTTGGCTTGGCGCTCACCGGTGTTGTGCTGGTGGCGGTGCCCATGCTCTTCATGTGCAACGTCCGTGCCTTCTTCGGCTCCGGCGAGCACTGTGGTGCCGATGCCCATGCGGCCGATGTTTCTGTGGCTGAAAGGAGACGGCTGTGCGTCAAAACCGCGGGGGCTCTAGTTGACCAAGGCAAATGAACAGAATAGACTACAAAAAGGTCAACAGGGTAGACGAAGTGAATGAGCGGCCATTCGTGTTTTGTCCTCTGTTTTGAATTTCAGCTCATTCATTGAATGGTGAGAACGGTCATCCTTCCATGCAAGCTCAGTGATGGAAACCCTGTACCGACCCTAAGCTTGCAAACTACCCCCAAACCCTGCACCACACACGACTGGAACCCACTCCACTGGGGGGTCCCTTTTGCTGGACACATGTTTTGGACCTTCGCTCTGAAAAGTCCATTGTTGCCTTTGTTATTCGGCCGTCTTAGCTGGTGTTTGTTGCACCGTGTTGGCTGACGTATTTTGGTGCGCTATTAACTAGAGGCAAAAGGCTTCTTAGATGCTGACGATTGAAGCTCAGAACGTTCCCAACAAGTCCCCGTTGAATCCACCGCCCTGAAGTTCTCGTTGAAGATTGAATTGGAGGAGTTGCCTGTGTGGTGTGCGCAGATGGCATTCATCCCTCCAACTGATGTTAGCTTTCAGCCACAGCACGAATCTCCACAACTTAAGGTTCACGGTTCACATTTCAATTTTACAATGTGTTTGAAGTGCAGAGGGGGCATAGACATGCAGGGTGTTTGTAATCTCATGCCGGTTTGTCTCCAACGCAGCTGGGGAATCCGTGGCAAATGGATAGAACGTCGGTGATCCTCGAATGGTACTTTGCTTCCGATGTCGTTTGGCATGCGGGGAGTTTGCAGAGCAGATACTATGAATCTCATGCACGTACAATGTGTGTGTGAATCGATATATGTGTATTATACAATATATACAAGGATGATAGGATGATATTTATACTGACTGTAATATATCATAATATACTTTAATATACTACAATACGTGTGTTGTTGAAAGCTGCTATGTCTCTTTGGTTGCCTTCCTTTTCACCTCCAGAACGGGTCCGGGTCTCGGACGACCGTTGAGTATCAACCAGGTGTCCCAGACCGCCGAGAAGTACTCCTTGATTGGAACCGGAATGGCCCCAGTCACTGGAGTTACTGGAGTCGCTGGAGTCACCGGAGTCACGGGAGTCGCTGGAGCTGTGCCTTGGCCCTTTGAAAGGGGTCTTTATAGCAGCAGGGTACGCCAATGTTTTGAAGAAAGCAGGATGGAAAGGCAGCACAGGATGTGTGTTTCTTCATGTTTCTTCTAAATTGGAGGTGAAGGGCGAGAAAGCAGGACGGATCACTTTTGGAAGGCTGGAGAGCACCCCAGCTTGCGTGCAGAGGAAGCTACTAGAACTTCCATTGAACATATATGAACACATCACTATCATATTACCATAAATGGTTTTGTTATTATCATATATACCAGGTGGATCGAACAGGTGTCCATTGGACGCCCCTTAAGCTAAAAACCATTGGACGCCCCTTAGAAATTTGACAAGTGCTTTCGAGGGATCCTCGTGTAGAATCACAACTTTTGGTACGGGATACTTGTGAATGGACTGGATTTGGGGAATGTACCAACCAAGGGTCGATCACCGGTACGATTCGGGTCGATTCGGGTCGATCGCCGACGTGCCCAGGCCACCGGTACCGCAGCCACATGGCATGCTTGGAGCACGAGAGAAGATTGAACATACAATAAGTCTCAACCCTCAACTACCAAGTGGCACAACCACATGGATCAACCATGATCAATGGCTTTAGCTTAAGGGGCGTCTTAATGGACATCCGTTCGATCTACCTGGAATCTCTTAGATTTTCCTTCGCGGTGCTGCCATGAAGAAACGGCAGAGATCGAGCCCTCTGTCAGGGAATCTCGGCTGCTCATTGGGTGGGTGGAGCCTGGTGGCTTTAACATGCTTCGATTCCCTGTTGAGGAAGTTGGCATCTGCAATGGTGAAAAGGGTGGATGCCAGCTACGTTCGGAAACACGAGGAGTTGTGTCCAGGAGGAGATCTTAGGCAAAAAGCCAATCAGTGGCTGAGGCTGCCTTTGTGGACTCCAAATTAAAGACGGTGCCACGTGAGCTTCGTGTTCGCAAAGCTGTACAAATCCTCTTGAAAAAGTTGAACGTGTGCCCACAGCTTAGTTGCTGGAAATTGGATTTTTTGACTAACATGCATGACCTCTTGATTATCCACTTGGTCCCCAAAGACTCAGGTAGAGAAAAGGATGAAGCCTGGATTGTGGAGCAAGCATCCTCATCTGATATTAAATCAGGTTTTGCTTTTCATTTGAATGTTCTCGGGGCTTTGTACAACACCTGGGGTGGTCCTGATTGAACGGTCTACCCAAGGCGTATCGATGCCAAAATGTGCTGTTGGGCCATGCCAAAGCACATCGCAGGGGAGCGATATTCAAATCCCCTGGAAGCAAAAAAAAGGCTTTGTCTTGATTTAACCCTCCCATCGACGGCCCATCGACATCCATCGACCAACCTTTGACCGGGATTGAGGTGGGGAAAGGATGGGAAAGGGTTCATTCATCCCAAGCTCACCTGAGGAGTTCGGTGGATATCATGGACACCTTGCCGCCGGATATGGGATTGGATGTTGAGCTTCCGCCATTTGACTTGGCGATTCTCGGACCAAACAACTATGGAACTTGATCGGTTGATCACTATGCAATGCTGAGGAACCCCACTGGATATGGATCGAAGGCTTCTACTCCTCTTTCAGTAAACCTTTTGGGGTTCAGCTTGGGGTCGCACACCCTGCATAGACTAAAGCCATGTTTTTATATGTCAGGGTTTCAAGCATTCAACATGTTCAGAGATATACCAGGTTAAGGGGCACCCAAAAACCACCTTTCGGAGGTTCTGGTATACATACTCGGTTAGC